TTTGAATTAGATTAAACTGGTTTGATCTTTTTACAGTTGCCAGCTAATGAATACAGCATTTTCACTACCCTTTGGAATATTGGCAAAATACAGGAACGTAAGAAGAGCCCTGCTGGATCAGATCAGTTGTCCATCTAGCCCAGCATCCTGTTTCACATAATGGCCAACCACTTCCTCTGGAGGTCCATCAGCAGGGTTAGAGGCCAAGGCCTTCCCCTGATGTTTCCTCCTGGCGCTGGTATTCAAAGGTTTAGGTAAAGGTAAAGGTTTCCCTTGCTCGAAAGCTAGTCGAATCCAACTAGGGGGCGGTGCTCATCTCCATTTCCAAGCCGAAGAGCTAGCACTGTCAGAAGACGTTTTCGTGGTCATGTGGCCGGCATGACTAGACGCTGAGGCGCACGGAATGCTGTTACCTTCCCACTGAAGCGGTACTTATTTATCTACTTGCAATTTCTGCTTTCGAACTGCTAGGTCGGCAGGAGATTCAAAGGTTTACTGCCTCTTAATATGTGTGTGTGTGTGGGGGGTCCCGCCAGTCATCATGGCTAGTAGCCACAGATAAACCTATCCTCCATGAATCTGTCTAATCCCCTCATAAAACATACTTTTACTACTGTTGAAACCTCGAAGTGACCTTGAGGATCTCCCCCCCCCCAGCTAATCAGTGTCATCTGGAGGGCATGTACATGTGGAGTGTGGATAAACAGGCCATCATTGCAAAGTGCTAGAACCCATTTTATTTACAATGGGGGGGGCCCAGAAAGCCAGGGGGATTCATAAGCTTGAATAATATGGACAGATTGAGGAAACTGCAGCTACTGGTTCTTTCAGCACTACAGGCCTGCTGAAAGTGTGCAAGAGATAGTGATGAGAGAAGGCAGGGGAAATACCTGTTTGCTGGCGAAGTACACTGAAGGGTGTGGCTTCTGTGAGCCGTGTAGAAGAAGGCAGAGGGGTCTGAATCTCGGAGTGTGGGTGGGAGGGGAGGAGGAAGGGCCCCGGCAGCGATCCTAAGCATCTAGCCATTGCATCCCTGATTAGTTCCTACACAGCCAAATCTAAAATAGTCCTGTAATCAGAAGCAATTCTGTTAGTCCCATCTGGAGGAATATTATTCAAACAAGGGATTTAACTGATACAAAAAACGAAGCTGCTATTGAATCCTGAATCTGGAGAAAGTTTAAAACAAACCGAAAAATGAGTATAGACCAAGGTATTGAAAGTAGCCACACTGTGTCTGAAGCAAAAAGAAAAATCTTTGTAATCCTTGTTCGGGAAAGTATTCCCTCTTTAAAATAACATGAATCCATCCAAATAAATTACAAAAATCTTTGACCCATTTGGTGGTTTGCTGTGTAAGAACGGAGATCTATAATCTATTGTTCTTCTTTGAGCAATTGAACCTAATAGGCTAATTCTACAAAATGCTGCTCTCGTTAGCACAAGGAAAGGGATGAAGACTGGCTGTCATGGAAAGTATTTTCTTTAAATGCATTTAGTCCACCGTTTTTATTGAGACTCAAGGCGGATTAAAAAATACAGAAAACGAATCAATCAGCCAGCATAAGGTATTCCATAAACAGTGCAGAAGGACTAGAATTGGAAAACAGCGCAAACTAAAACTGTCTAAGGTGTGATAGTACAGAAAGAAAGAATAGGAAGACTGTTTTGTGGAACCTCTTGGTAATTGGTATAATGAGTCATTTAGCAGGTAGGTAGGAGTTTCACTTTCTGTTCAGTGTTAACTCAGAAACTCATTCTTAATTTAGGTTTCATTGTGCAGTTGCTCATAGTTCAATTGTAGCTCTGTTCCAACCCACATCATAAGATGGTGTCCCACTGGGATCTTTTTTTCCCCCTTCAGGTGTGCTGTCTAGTAGTTTGTAACGGCCGTACCTTCCCGCCCAACACTCCTGGGAGTTAGAGATACTATATTCAAGAATTTTAAAGCTTTTCTAAACTATATTTCTCAAAGTAGCTCTTGGCTCACAAGACCAGCACAGAAATAAATTCAGAATAATAAAGTCAGTAGTGAAACATTTAGCACTGCCAGGACTGTAAGCTTATATAGGCCCCGGTCACATGGCAAAGTTGCCGTGGGAGAGGCACGGAAGGTGGGTGGATTATCCGAGTGCGATCACACCCCAACATCTGGGAAGTGGAGCGTACCCATGGCTTACCACCGACAATGCACATTTAAAAACTAGTACCTCCAAGGTATTAGTAAACGTTTGCCACGGGCTGCCTCCAGATGCCCGTGGTGTGATCGCGCCAGCGCGCGGCATTCTGCTCCGGTCCCTCGTTTACCTGCCAGCACCGAGGGAAGGACCCGTGGTGTGCTGCTGGCCCGTCTGATCGTGTAATCGCGGATCAAACTGCACCGGGGCAATTAGCCACGCCTCCCCCCGTGATATCCGGCCCGTGTGACCGGGGCCTTTGTTAAATTGTTAAGTCTCTTAAATTCTGGATGTAAGTGCGGAATGTAGAATGGAGTACAGGAATATCGATAGATACATCTCTCAAGGTATAGTATTGCACAGTCTTATTTTGAAAGACTCATAGCTTGATTCAGTGGGGCTAAATGTCTGCATAAACATGTAGAATTATACTATAGGTAAGATTTGCCCTGTATACTTAGCTGGTGTAGTGACTGTGGTCATGTTCAGATTTTGAAAAGTCAGGTATGGATCCCCACTTCGCTTTGAAATTTGCTATATGTAACTGTCTAAATCACTTGCTACCAACCTCACAGGGATTCTGTGGTGGCAGAATGTCGCTCTGTTTTCCTTGGAAGAACGTCTAAGTACAAGTATGACAAAATTAATATTCCTGATTTGACCTCATGTCTCGGGATACCTCAGGAAAAGGATTAGACGATCTTGCTTCACATATGATCAGCAGTGAAGCCAAAATGGATTTAAGGTTTTTACAAAAGCTAGGATCTTGATCAGTAGATCTTAATTGATCAGCCCTCAATGTTTGGGGCACTTTTGTGCTACAAATTTCAAAAGAGCAAGTCCTCAGCAGCCCATTGTGTATGAACACATCTCGGTTTATTTGGAGCGTAGGCTTGGGTTGCTAACACATCCTCAAGGCTCAAGCTCAGGTTACCTTAAGTAGCCTGAGTATCATGCACATACAAGCAGCATTAGATTTGCAGCTCTCTCTTATCCCACAATTCTTGGCAAGAGCCTACTCTGTGAATGTGCTACAGACCGAGTGCTCCTCCAAGTCCCCTCCCGCACGGTACACTGTTGTCGCCACCGTGTAAGAATCTAAAGGTAATTAAAGACCAGGTCTGAATGTACCAGTTCGTCTGATAAGCCAGGCTTGATTGGAAGCAATGCAAGCTTCATTCATTAAAGCAGTATTTTAGAAGAGGGTCCATCAGCAGGATTTTAAAGGAACTGCTTCCATAATAGCTCTGAGATCTTTCTTGATTTACGTGCTGTTTTTGCTGGTGGGAACTGACAGTCACCCTCCGTGTGAGAGATGGAGGGCACGTCCTGTGGAATTCATAGTGAAAAATAAGAAGGCTGTGAGAAAGATGTTGTTTATGTCAGGCATAGTTTTGGTAGCAACACTGTTCAACATGGGCCATGGTGAGAGCTGGCCTCCGTTGTCAGGAAGGAAGATGTTGCATCTAAAACACTTAGAGAAAAGTCCTTCTGTTAATCTCCACCTTCACTGGCATCTCTCTCCTTGTTGCGTCTCATCTTATATGGACCTATCAAATTCTGCTCTGTAAAGCATCATGCGTCTTACTGATGCTATATTAATAATAATTTGTCCATCATGTATGTGAAATGGTGGATACCTGTATAATAACACAGGTATACATGCCTCTCAAAGAAACCACATGTTTCTCAGAAGTAGAGGAAGCCTTCTTTTATCCTAGAAAATGAGTGTGTGATTTATTAGGAGAGAGTTTCCCATACATAGCAGCACATTTAATACTGGCTTTCCCCCAGTTAATTTTGGTCCTGGAACAAATCAGTTTTAAGTAATGATTTGTCTTGCACATCTTTCTCTTACTATTCATAATTAAAACAGAGATACTTGTAAGCTTTCTAAGTACATGCATTTGACCTGAATTTTGCAAACAGGAGCAGCTTTTTATTGAGGTTAGTGTATTTTGAGGTGATGAAACTCCCAGGAGCAAAGAATACTATGAATTTTTCAGATAGTTGAAAGTGTTTCCCTTATGAGTGGTAGGCAGAATTCAGAGTCGGATAGAATGCATTGTGTTGGTTACTGAGCTTCTACTATTGGTTATCAAGTAGTGTGAAATGTTTGTGTACAAGCAAAATTATGCCTGTGCACATAATTTCTCAGGCTATGATTTTGAAAACTATTGAATAATGTACCTAACGTCTATGCTGCGTATCAGAGTGATTTTACTGATTGAACAGTTGCAACAAGTCTGTTAACTGAATTGTTCAGAAACCAGTAAATTAAGAAATTCATGTCTAGAACAAGTTGCCTCTGTATCCCATCACAGGATACAAAAGTAACCTCAGCCTAAGAGAATATATCTACTTTGTAAATTATATGTGGGAGCCACAAGGAATTCTAGAGGTCTGTGGGGAAAATAGCAGGTTGCCATTAAAAATCTGGTTGCTTTACAAGTATGCAGCCTGTTTATAACTTGTTGGTGGGAAAATCAGGCTAATATTTTTAGGTTCTTAAAAAATTGTGTTCCGTGGGTGCTGTGCCTGGGTATTGCTCTCTGCCGTGTTCACTGTGACCTGGATCATGTGGGTTGATCTGGAAGAGTCTGAGAAGGGGGTAGGCTCTCTGGTGTGGTGAGGGATAGGCTTGACTTCACGATGCCTATTCAAAGCAGCTTGTCTGAGTTCCAGTATCTGTTGCTTCTTATAGCTATTACCAGGCTTGCTGGGGGTTTTTTTGTTTTGTTTTGTTTGAGGAAAGATAGAGTTCAGCATTGGAAATGTCTTCTGTTTTGTTCACAGTCTTCTCTGTTTATTAATTTCAGAGGTCGCAGCAGTGGCAAAGGGCCACCTCAGCCTTCAGTAAGTATATATTTTAGTATTCCGTGGGGTGTAGCTGATGCTTGTCATTTCTTTATGGTGTTTATAGCCTGCCTTTCTCACAGGGACTAAAGGCGGATTACACAGAATGAGTCAGTACAGTCAGCAGAATGCGACATTCCAGTAACCGATGCATCAGTATTTTAGAAGTCTGGAACCACCAGAAAGAACTGAAGCATAGCACAAGTATTAATGTCACACATTAAGTGGTACAGGGATTACATAACAGGATCCTACTTACAATAAGTTGTACACAGCAGTATAGACCACAGTCTCAAATCATTCATCCAGGTAAATTTGAACCATTCTGCACAGTGCAACCCTCTTACCTGTGCAGAAAAGCCCTCTTGAATAGTTCAGGTTTGCATAGTTTGCAGAAAGCTGCCGACGTGAGTGAAGTTGTCATGAAGGAACACAGGGAGAGTGTGTGAAAGGCAAAAAGTGGAGGTATCTTACCTTTGAAGCCACCTTTTACGATAAATGCCAGCTTTTCTGTGCCAGATTGTGTTAACCGTTGAAGGAATGCAGCAAGATATTTGCAAACTAGATTATACTTTCTAAGATACTGAACAGGTTTGTAGTTACTTTTAATATACTATAATACACACACACAGTCAATATATAGGCATAATAGTGTGAAGATTTTGTTGGTAGCTCCCAAATGTTTGAGGCTTGAATCATTAACTCCTGCTTGTTGTAGGGGGGTTACTAAAAATAACAAAAATTGCTAACTGTTGTTTTAACTATTGGTGACTGTTGTATGCTTAACTGATTTTAATTCTCTCTTAAAAAAATTTGGCTGTCAAGTCACGGCTGACTTATGGCAACCTCATAGGGTTTTCAAGGCAAGAGATGCTGAAAGCAGGTTTGCTACTGCCTGCCTCTGCAGGGTGCCCATGTTATTCCTTGGTGGTCTTCCATCCAAATAATGGCCAGGGCTGAGCCTGCTTAGCTTCCAAGATCTGATGTGATTGGGCTATTATATACATTTTAAAAAGAAGAGTTACCAGCTACAACTGCTGCTGGTGATACGGTGAACTGGGTGAAGCCATACGGGTTAACTCTCTCCTGTTATTGCTCCCTTGCCGTAAGAGGCTGAACAGAGAAATAAGTCTGTCCTTGATATGCCCTTGAGATTCTCCACTCTCTCATACTCGAAAAATGGAGGGGGGGGGGAAGTTATGGCACTTAAAGCAACATCTGATTTAAGTACATGGCGTAGATTGCATACAAGCGCTTTGTGCCTCGCACTGCTAGGACCGTTATTAGTGGTACAAGAAGCACAGACCCCTTGTTGTCTTTAAATGTGCTGTCAGGAAACTCTTCTCATAGGACCACAGAGGTCCTTAATACTCCCTCACTGAGTTAACTCCTAACATGGTTTTTAAGGATAATTGGTGATGTCACAAACCAGATGTGTTTCCAGTGTGGCAAGGTAACATGAGGCAGCCCACAGAGGTGAGAGTCAGCTGATCAGTTTAAAAAAGAGAGATGGGTTTTCCATTTTTCCTACCTTCTGGCTCACAAGACTAAAATTGATGAAGAATGGAGGGAGGTTCCAGTCTTCAAGCTTTGGCATCACTGTGTGTTCGCTTGAGCAGACCTGCCAAAACAAGCCGCTGGGGGGACAACATTTCACATCTAATAGGGTTACCTGAACAAGGACCAGAGACTTGTAGTGTATGTTTGTTTGTAAGGATATTGTATACTTGGCCATTTTGTGGTTGTGCCCATCAGCCTGCGTCAGATTTCCAAAAAGTGACCACAGTTTCAAAACGTTTTGGGGCCCCTGGGGCACGCACGTGGACATTTTAGGATACTGAATTATATGTCTAATAGCATTTTGCATTTGTGTGAAATTGTGATAGATGTGTCACCCTAACCAGCTGTCTGAGGTGTTTTGGGGGGAGGAGAGTCAGGTGAGGTAGGAGAGATTAGTAGTTTGACATCTCCTTGTCAAGTTAGTAGGGTATGGAGAAATAATTTGCAACGTTTTGATTCAGAACTGGATTAATCAGACTGTTACTTGTAGCTTCCTAGGGCAGTTTTCACTTGATATCTGAAGGTTAGTGATCTGTTAGCTGCGCATTGGTGCCTAATGAGTTTTTTTCTCTTGTTTCAGATTTCTTTTCATGGCATCTATGCAAACATGCGAATGGTTCACATTCTCACGTCTGTTGTTGTAAGTTCTTTACCTGTGGAATAATCTCTTGTAACTGCAGCATTCTATGAACGTGTTGAGGCTTAGTAAGTGTATGTGGAAGACCCCTGTTTTATGGCTAGGAAATGTGCACAGTCTCTTTATCAAGGGGTTGGGCTAGTCCTATCTCTGTTCCTGCAAATTTGAAGCCTTAAATCTGCACACTAAGCGACACTTTAAAATGTTGACGGTTGGGAAGTGAGAAATGACTCACCTGGGCACCCTCCCAGTCTTTAAAAAATTAGAGCTGTGTGCCTCCCCTAGTATATTTGCAAGTGCTTCAAGTGAACTTGGAACTATTTTTTATGACGCAGACAGTTTTAAGTTTGCATCCTCATTCTCATCCAAGCCTTCGAAGCAGCGTAAGACCTAGTAACGTGGTGCAGTGGCTAGAAAACCCGGTTTCCAGTTACTACTCAGTTGAGAAGCTCAGTAGCTGGGTTTGAGGAAGTTGCTACCTCTTGCCTTAATCTGTCTCACAGAGTTGTTGTGAGGATAAAGGGCAGCTCTGAGTTCCTTGAAGGGGGAGGGTATGTAAATGTAATATCGCTGACTTCTGGGAACTCAAGGTTAACAAGGGGTGGAGGATATTTAGTATGGCAGAATTTCAGTCTGTTAAAACAGGTAGCTGTGTTAGTCTATCTGTAGTAGTAGAAAAGTGCAAGAGTCCAGTAGCACCTTAAAGGCTACCAACATTTGGGCAAGGTATGAGGTTTTGTAAGTTTATCTAAAGAAGTAAGCAGAGACTCAGAAAGCTCATAGGTAAAGGTTTCCCTTGCTCGAAAGCCAGTTGAATCCAACTCTAGGGATGCGGGGCTCATCTCTGTTTCCAAGCCGAAGAGCCAGTACTGTCCAAAGACGTTTCCGTGGTCATGTGGCCGGCATGACTAAACGCCGAGGCGCACGGAACACTGTTACCTTACACTGAAGTGGTACCTATTCATCTCCTTGCAATTTCTTGCTTTCAAACTGCTAGGTTGGCAGGAGCTGGGACCAGAGACGGGAGCTCACTCCGTCATGTGGCACTCGGGTCTCGAACTGCTGAACTATCGACCTTCCGGTCTGCAGTTCAGCATCTTAACCACTTGAGTCACCGCAGCCCCACCAGAAAGCTCATACCCTGCCACAAAGCTTGGTAGTCTTTAAGGTGCCGCTGGACTCTTGTTCCATTCTGTTAAATTGTTTCCATTGGTTTTATTAGCTGCTTCAAGATGGAGGCTGCATCTAAATATATAATTTCTAATTACATAATCTCTAATTACATAAATGAGTTGGGAAAATCGATTTGGGCCGGGGCGTGAATGAAGACTTTGCCCAGTAGTGCACCTAAGCACTTATATATACTTGCACAAACTGTTTGTTGCTGTTTCTCATGGCTCAGTCATGCTTAGTTTTATAATCGCTGTATTAGAATGAGAACTCCTCTTTAACGAGATTGTGTTTTGCATCTAGGGATCAAAATGTGAAGTACAAGTGAAAAACGGAAATATATATGAAGGAGTTTTTAAAACTTACAGTCCTAAGGTAAATTCATGTCGTGCCTGTCTCTCCCCCCCCCCCCCCTGTTTTCTTTGTTACCCTCTCCAACTAATTGCTTGGTAGGATTTAACTGTTTTGAATGCAAACATGGTAGTGGGATCTGATCATTTGTTTGTTGCTTGAAGCTGCCATGCATAGAATTAATAAATGTGCAACTCACCAAGTTTAGGATTTACTAAAAAATTTTTGCCTGAAAATAATTGACAAACCTTCAAATGAACCAGTCTCTCGAGCATTGTGCTTTTGTGATGGATGTTTCTGCACAACAGCAGGTTTTACTAGAATAATTGTTGATGAAGCTGGCAAAGCAGGCAGATGGAAACTGAAGTTTAAATGCTTAGTGGTGAAGTCCAGGCAACTGTTATACAACTCGTCATATTGTGTTCCGTTCAGTTTCTTAAACCTGTAACAGAGATGAGCGGTTACTGCTTTGCCTGTTGATAATGTAAGGATCTAATGGAGGATTCTGTCTGCTTGCTCCTTTTATTTTTTCCTTTTAAATTGTGTGTTTCTGCTACTACTGAAGGTAACTTTGTTATCCACCAGAGAGCACTTGCTGCTGCATGCTCACGGAGAAACTACAGTTCTTACAGGTTGGGAGACTAAACTGAATTTGAGGTGGTTCTCTTTTCGACTAGCCTTTGAGAATAGTAATAATTACTTAGCTATCTTTTGATACAGTGTAATTGAAATTGTTTTACTGTTGCCATGAGTAATGGCATGTCTTCATGCTTTTCCTCAGAAAGATACACACATCTTGCAGGTTCATTTCTTAAGATTTAATCTTGGCTAAAATTTGGGAAAAACATTTACGAGATTGTTTGTGTTAACATGTGTGCGCTCTGGACAGTAAAGATGGCTCCCTTGTATTTCAGTGTGATTTAGTGCTTGATGCAGCTCATAGAAAAACTGCAGAATCCAGTCTGGGGCCAAAACGAGAAGACATAATAGAAAGTATCCTGTTCAAGTCCTCAGATTTTGTTATGGTGCAATTCAAAGACATGGATTCCAGTTATGCCCGGAGAGGTATGTTGATATATGTCAGAATGTTTTCTTCTACCAGCTTTACTTTTTAATTGGATTAAAGGTTGCATGTGTTGTTTTCTAGTTAGGATATAAGGCACTGCCTTGTAGTAAATCAAAACCTCAGTCCCTGTAGTTTAAGGCGAACAGGGCTGAGCTCAGCTAGTTTCTTCATC